ATAGTTAGAACAAAATGCGAAGAGGTAAAGAGAATAACAGCACTGCTATTTGATCATATTACGCTGCTTTGTATCGAAGTGTTAATCCAATTGACACGATACTAGAATTTGTGGTAGTGATACTGGGAACATGCTGGCACAAATATTCACCAAAAAAACGGCCTTGCGRCTTGTTATGTTTATCATTGATTCGGTCTAAAACTGTGAAAAACCTTTTCCCTGCTTACAGAGAATCAAAACTAAAGGGGTCTGAAATCAAGGGACAGAGCCGAGTGTTAATACAGACTATTGAAAAAAAATGAAAAACACACGACACCAGCATCCCTAGTGTGATCGCAGCCAGACACCTGTCCCCAGCCATTGTGAGAACAGCTTCCAAGTGAGGCCTCTGAGCCTGAGCATCTCATGTTGTACAGCCATATCTTACCCGTCCCTTGTCCGAAGTGCGAAGGTCCTAGAGTCTTGTTAAAACCAAGCTGCCGACACGCAACCTTGGCATCGTTTATATCAAAGACATTATTATAACCACCTTGACACACTGTTCCCCATTGACCACTGTGTCAACTGTTATATGCATAATGTCCTACAGCCRTATTTTACCCGTCCCATGTTCATTGTACCAAGGTCCAAGAGTTTTTAAATYAAACCGCCCTTTGGCGAGCTCGTGGATACTAGTTGCACTTTCCAGAGATTGGGTTCCCTGTGTCCTTATGCTTGTTGACATTCGAAAGTTTCAAAGCTGATTTCGCTCGATTTCATATTTAAGATACTTAATTTAGCTGATAATTTGATTACTCGTCCTTTTATTTTTCTTTTAACACCTTTGTTTAGGTCTGTTATTTTGTTGAGTTTGGAAGCGAATTCTGTGATGAATTGATTGTATGAAGTTACTTCAATTACTGCAAAAGACGACTTCGACTTCGACGGACTTCCATTTGCTAAGTCTTCTGAAAATCAAATTCTAGATTTTTTTCTTATTTTAAAAGTCGGGCCGAGTGCAGTTTAATTCAGAAATCATTCGTATAAGCCTTTTTGGCTAACAAAAAAGCATTGCGTTATGCGTTACTACTTATCTTGACCTTCAAGGGTCACGGCGCTTATGATTGATTTGTTGCCTGAAATTTTCACATGAGACACTTTACTTACACTGTGAACTAAGC